AACACAGAATGTGAACAGAGGTATTAGACAAGGAAAGCACTAGCGTGCGATAAGGATAGAGAGAAAACGTTTCCTATCGTCTGACTGGCGGCTACCCTCCGACGCTCAGGCCCAAAGGCAAGCCGGTCGGTGAAAAATCATTAATAACTCAATAATCACGATGATTTTGTGAACTTTAAGTATTGAAGAATGTAGTATGAACCTCCAGCAACTTTCTAGTTTAGTTTCTAATGCTTTAGACTCTTTCAATAGTTAGTTATTAACAATTTTAATAATTGATGTCGGAAACGATACCGCATACCTTTACGTTTGTTCAGAAATTTCACAACTTTCTACTAAATTCTCATGCAGCTAATTGTATGCATCTGAAAGATGACTCTTTCGTCTATATTCTTGTCTAATTTTTATTACGATACTCCATTTTGTTTAGGAGTTATTAAATATTATATGAGAGGGTTCACTATAAATCGAACTCGTGTACAGTTAACTGTTGTAAACAATAACTAATATCAGATAAACCATACTACTTATGGCTACCAAACTGATTGCAGAATATAGAGGGAAGCCGGTTCTACATTCTGCATGCTTGAAAGTGCACAATTAGCCACGCATGTCTATTGAAATAACGAAAATGTGTTACACGTGAATACGTCGTTTGTAAAACTCTCCCAAAGAATGTTTAATAACACTTAAACTGAATCGAATATGTTAATAAAGATTACACGAGAATGTAGCCAAAGGAGTTGCCTTTCAGACGCGTGCAGCTGGTTTCACGAGAATTTAGTAGAAAACTATGAAATTATTGAAAAACCGGAAAGGTACTTGACGGTATGCGTTGTCGTTCCCGACATCACGTATTAAAACTGTTAATAACTAATTATTGGATACGTCTAGAGCAATAAAATTTATACGAGAAAGTTGCTGGAGGTTCATACTTCCTTCTTCAATTCTAAAAGTTCACAAAATCAGCCTAATTATAAAGTTATTAATGATTTTTCGTCGATCGACTTAATCTGGGGCCTGATAGGTGAAGCTCGACGGCCCGCCGACCAATAGGAAGCGTTCTCTCTCTCTGTCCTTGTCGCACACTGGTGCTTTCCTTGTCTAATACCTCTGTTTATATTCTGTAATCCTGTTAAGAAATCGTAATTCACATTGCCCGCTTTTATTTGCTGTCCTTGTCTAACACTGTATCCTTTCCTTGTCTAACCCATTACTCTAGTGCTATCCTTCTCTACCCCTACTTCTTTCCTTGTCTAACTCATTTCTCTCGTGCTATTCTTGTCTACCGTTACACGTTTGCTTATCTCTCTTCGCTCTAGCCATTCTCGTCATCCCTATTATATTTAATTAATATTTGTATTCAATTTTTAATTGTTTCAGCAGTACTAATCATGTAGATAGTAAAATACAGTTTTTGGCTTATTTTCACGAATCTTATTTTCTGAATTGTGGCGGCTAACAATGAAAGCGGGTCCCGTAGCTAAATACGCAGTTCTTCGAGCATGCTACGTCATTCGACGGCCCGGGCACGGTATGTTCCATGCGTCGTTCGTAGTCGCAGTCGTCAGAAGGACGAGCACGAGGCAACAGTTGCGGCAGTCGTGTCTCGTAAGTACGTTTGATAGACAACATCGTGTTACGAAAAGCAGCCTGAAATCATTTCAAGCCCGTTCCATCTACCACAGAATAATTACTGTTTCTGGGTAAATAATAATTTATGTGGTAGTTTATGATTATTGGATATGTTAAATGAATTTGTTGCATAATTTAAGTTAGTATAACTTTAATTTCAAGGAAAGAAATAGGAGTAGACAGGGTTCTCAATACTTTCGACTAACTCAATAATTACGGTGATTTTGTGAACTTTTAATATTGTAGAATGTAGCATGAACCTCTAGCAACTTTCTCATTTAGTTTTCAATGCTCTAGACTCTGTAAATAATTAGTTATAAACAATTTTAGTAGGTGATGTCGGGAACGATACCTCGTACCGTCGAGTATCTTTACGGTTTCTCAATAATTTCACAGCTGTCTAGTAAATTCTCATACAACTATCTATTTATATGCTTCTGAAAGGTCATTCCTTTAGCAACATTCTCTTGTAATTTTTCTTAACATATTCGGTATAGTTTAGGAGTGATGAAACATTATATGGGAGAGTCCCCAATTCATCGTACTCGAGTATACTCAAGTGTTATAAACAATTGCTAATATCTAATAAACCACACCACTGATGGCTACCAAACTAATTTCAGAATATAGATAAAAGTCCATTCTACATTCTGCATGCGTTAAAGTGCATAATTAGTCACTCATTTCTATTGAAATAACGAAAATATGTTACTATTGAATGCGACATATATAATCGAGTGTAACACCTTCACGGTTTTTCAATAATTTCATAGTTTTCCACTAAATTCTCGTGCAACTAGCTATACACATCTGAAAGGAAACTCCTTTGGCTATATTCTCATATAATTTCTATTAACATATTCGATTTAGTTTAGGAGTTATTAAAGATTATATGGGAGCGTCCCCAATTCATCGTACTCGAGTATACTCAAGTGTTATAAACAATTGCTAATATTTAATAAACCACACCACTGATGGCCACGAAACTAATTGCAGAATATAGATAAAAGTCCATTTTATATTCTACATCCTTTAAAGTGCATAATTAATCACGCGTTTTTATTGAAATAACGAAAATGTGTTACGATTGAATACGACAGGTATAATACTCTCCCAAAGAATGTTTAATAACTCTTAGACTACACCGAATATGATAATGAAAGTTATGTGAGAATGTAGCTAAGGGAGTTGTCTTCCGGATGCATACAGTTAGTTTCATGAGAATTTAATAGAAAGCTATGAAATTATTGAAAAACCAGAAGAGTGTGCGGTATCGCTGCCGACACTCTGTACAATAATTGTTAATAACTAATTATGGGAAGGGTGTAGTGCATTAAAAACTATATGTGAAAGTTGCTGAAGGTCCATACTTCATTCTTCAATTCTAAAAGTTCACATAATCATCGTAATTATTGAGTTATTAATGATTTTTCATCGGACCACGTGGTTGAGGCCCTGGGAGGCGGAGCTCATCGGTCCGCCAGCCAATAGGAAACGTTTTCTTTCTGTCCTTGTCGCACACTAGCTCTTTCCTTGTCTAATGCCTCTGTTTATATTCTGTTATCCTATTAAGAAATCGTAGTTCTCGTCACCAAACGCAAGATGGCGTTAGTCTTGCACGCCATTTTGTTCCGTCCTTGTCGAACACATTTTACTATATAGTGTTATCTTTGTCTACCGTTATTCGTTTCCTTGTCTCTCTCGTCATCTCTATCATACTTAATTAATACTTGTAATCAATTTCTAATTTTGCATTGAAATAACCATTGCATTCAGTAGATCAGTTAGAAATTGTTTACAACTTTTATTGAAAATTGAAAAATTAGTGGTTCCTTTTGTGTGAATTACAGATGTAACTTCCAGAAAATGATGGGAATTACGGAAAGGACTTGAACATGAGGAAAAATTAAGAAATGTAATTATTTGCCAAACAATCGTTTAACAGTATGTTTATTATAACAGTTAAATTTCAGTATCGTTTAACAGCATTTTACAATTTATTTATTTCTCTCTTACACACCGCACACATTTCTTTTTGCGAAACACTCATTCTTTGAATAATATTCGAGTACAAAATTGTCATACATCGCAGTACATCGCCAGAACGGGCGATGTGTAACAAGTGTGTGAATATAGTTAAGAGAATAGATTAAAAGAATAGAATAGATTAAATTTAAAAGAATAGAGGTTGTATCGATAGAAGAGAAGTAAATTGAGAAAGCTGAGTAAGGTGGGGCAGGGTGGAAATAAAAGAAAAAGAAAGCTAGCGGTAATATGGTGGTAAGAGGCTTTGGGAAGTACTAGGTGCAGAATTTGAGCTTAGGTAAAGAAAGAAGGATGGGTGATAGAAGAAAGTCGGTAAAGAAGGTAGCACCGGGTGTGGGTAAAGAAGGTAGGACAGAAGAAAGAAAGGTGACAAGAGCAAGCAAGGAAAAAGGAGCAACAGCAAAGCCGCAAAAGGTGTTGGAAAGTTTTTGAAAGTGTCTAAGCTGGAGTGAGAGCACAGAGATTTGAAGAAGGAGTAGAGAAATCAGAAGAAAAAGTCCTAATAAAGGAATTTTTATGTAAATAATAATGTAAACTATTTACCATTCTTCTAATATAAAGAGTAATAATTATTCCTAACAAAAATATCATTAAACTTATATGGAAGAAACATTAATACAATAAATATTTGTATACATTATGGTTTATTTACTTATACTTTTTGCACATAATAGTAGATACTTTGTATAATCTAGTTTGTTGTACAAAGTTAAAATCGTAAATGTATATATACATCAAAATATTGTTAATTTCGCTTTGTTCTTTCGTCTATATTGTTCGACATCGATCCTTTTTTCAATGTTCCTTAAAACCTGAAGAACCGATAGTTTCCAACTATACTTACTCATAATGTGATTATAGTGGACAGTGCCTTTTACAAGTCGTGTCAATAATTTCTCTAAATGGGTCGATTCTCTTTCTAATCTTACAATATGTACTCCAACTACGCAATTCCTTGCGTTTAATGCTAGATTTGATTTTGATCTAAAATTACTTAAACTTTTGAAAATATCTATTTGTGATTCAGTTTTCGCTGCAACGAATTAAAGAGATATAATAAAAACTGAAAAATGTAACGTATAATCTGGATGAAAGAAAATGTTCTTAAACATACGTTTATTGTCTAACATTGCATTTATAAAATTAAATACATCCTTTTCTGCGCGCTTATTTGCTTTTTGATGTCGTTTTTCGCTTTGCTGTCCTAATTTTTGCGGTTGCTTTAGCTTTCTGCGTTCGACAGTAAATAGATTTTTATCCCCGTTGGCATTTTCTCGTAATTCCATACAATGATCTGAAAATGAATGTTTTTCCATTTAAAACATATCTAGATGTAAAAAATAATACAAAATATACATACCTAAAGATTTACCAGCTGGTAATACCGTTGCCTCAACTGGTTCTATTCTTCCATCGGAATGTTTTCCAAGACCAGTACCTATTACATATCCCATTTGAGCCATTAATTTGCTGCCCATACCACGTGTATGCTTTTCCCAATTTCCTAATGGTGCATTAGTTTCTACTGTAGGAAGAGGTTTATGAATCACTTCTTCTTTAGAGTACTGTACCAAATCAGTTTCACTGTCATTATCATCAGATGTGTCTGACGTTTTTAAATCTGCGTCGTCTGTAGTAATATATATCATGAAATAAATGTAAAAGAAAAAAAAATAAGTTCGAATATACAATTACTGTATAAGATACACATATACGTGTGTATATATATATACATATACCAAGAGGTAAGATATTTTGTAAAAGGGCTTCTGCAGCTCCGCCAATTTCTCGTGTTGTAATTATATAAGTATCTTCTTCGTTATCTGGCATTCTTAATATAGAAGACTCATGCCACAACTGATTTTCTTGCTTCACCAGTACTCTACTACCCTTTTTTATACTTTGAAAATCAGGTTCCCTAGAAATAAAAACTTGTACATCACCTTTTCATTTTTCTATGCATTTTGTCTTGAAAAATTTACCTATATTCGTATATACTAGATAACGGTACTAATTCCCCATGTGAAAATTTGCAGTCTTTGTCAGAATATATACATTTTCCATCCAAATAATGAGGGCATGGAAGCATTGCCTTGTGTGTTGGATTTAAAAAGAGTACCCTGACCTAAATAATATTGTTCATCTGAATTAACAATTGACCTAGATCTAGTTGCAACCGATTCTTTTTTTACCTTTATGTCTTCCATATTTTGTATTTTTGTACTGTCATTTTGATAAACAGAGGATATCATAGCATTATGATAAGCAACAGGTTCCCAACTCCTACCAGTGCTACAGGGAGCTCTACACTTCATGCCTTCAAGCTGCTTCAACTGATCCTGCAAGATGAACATACTGAATACATGCATACTGACTTCTACATGATTTGAAGCTAGATCATCTTGTTTATCCTGCTCATTATTCTCAGATTCATTAGTGGATTTCTCCAGTTCTGCTTAACAAATGTATATGCAAATAAAAAGTAAATTGTTATTTTATTAAGTTCCTTATATTAGGTGAACATACTGACTTCTATATGATTTGAAGCTCGATCATCTTGTTTATCCTGCTCATTATTCTCAGAGTCATTAATGGACTTCTCTAGTTCTGCCTAACGAATATGTATGCAAATAAAAAGTGAATGGTTATTTTATCAAGTTCCTTATGTAAGGTGAACATACAAAATACATGCATACTGACTTCTATATGATTTGAAGCTCGATCATCTTGTTTATCCTGCTCATTATTCTCAGAGTCATTGGTGGATTTCTCCAGTTCTGCCTAATGAATATGTATGCAAATAAAAAGTGAATGGTTATTTTTATCAAGTTCCTTATATTTTCCATCTTTTAAGGAATAATTTTGTTTCGCATAATTACCTTGAACAAGGTATATTCCTTTGCCAATGGATCATCATGATAGATGTCAATATCGTTGTACTCATCCAAATCGTCGTCAGCGGATTCGACACCTTCCAAACTTTCTTTCGTCAAAGCAATCAGTTCCTGTATGTCCGATTGTAAGCTCAATAAATTATTCCTATCCGCTTCTTGCGTAGTCACGGACAGAGTTGTTTGAACTTGAGCTAGCTGACGTGGCAAATAAATGTTTAAGAAATAAAAATAAAAATGACTGGCTTAATTAAAAATTAATTGGGTCTGCGAATTACGCGCAAGGTTATATTCTTTTCCTGTAAAATGCTAACAAAATTGTTATTTATACCTGCTGTTCGTACTGTGCGATAGCTTCCTTTAAACTTCCCGAATATGTCATATTATCCTGCGTTGACACAGACATTTTCAAAAAAGTTTTACTCTCGGATTAAACGATTTTGACAGTTTACATTCGGACTCTTTCTGCTCTCTATAATTTAACGATCGCATCAGAACACTGATACCAACGTTAAAAAGCTCTACCCTAAAAGCACTAAACGACAACGTCCGTTTCGTGGCGACATCTTTGTCAGATTTACATGAATCGTATTGGAAAAGTATCCCTTAGAATCACAATGTTAACGATAGCAACATTATAAATATAATTGTATAGCTGTATAACGACAGTTTGTTCAATAGAATTTTAATACGATTGAAAAATTGGGCAATTTAAGTTAGAGAGGAGATGAAAGTTTCACCGCCTCGGTAGCGCAGTAGGTAGCGCGTAAGTCTCATAATCTTAAGGTCGTGAGTTCGATCCTCACCCGGGGCAATTTTTTTTTTCTTTCCAATATAAGAAAATGTTTGAATTATTTTTATAAAAATGTTCACGAATAAAAGTGTACCAACTTTGCATACGTATATAACGTAACATTGATCGAATATAGTGCAATATCAACGAATAGAATACGAAGAAGGAAAGAGATTTTTAGTTAAAGAAATGAGATAGCGAATGCAAGAAGTCAGAGTGAAAAATAACGGCGAGGGAGAAAAGAGAGGCGCGATTTTACGAAGGAGAAAGAGAGCAAGAGACAATTATGTAAATGTAACACTCGCCGGAGGGAGTTGAGGCTTCTTGGAATTGAAATGTGGAAGTTAAAACGAGTTGTGAATTGTTTGCTGCCCTTTAGCGATACCACAATTTGCAAGCAAACAGCCCATTAAGCTGAAGCTGCCATAGCCTCTACCTTTCCACGGTGGATAGGTGTTGCTCGCGACCCTTCCGCCACGAATAAATCCAGAGAAAACGACACCCTCCTCTTCCGTCATATTTAATCAGTTTGTTTTCGCCACAACGTGGTTTCTATTATATTGCTTAAAACGCATCGAACTACTTGGACATATAGGTAAGGTGAGTTGAAATTTGCAAGATGGTGAAAGGTAAGAAAGTGATAACGGAAAAAGGAATCTGCGCGCGATTCCTCGGTCTGCTCGCACTTATCGTATTTTCAGGGTGATTATACGTCCGTGGATATCGGCGAGTCGTGGCAGAAAATGAGAGAAAAGGGAGAAGGTTTTTCGTGGGTTATTTTATGCAGCAGCCGCTATGCATCTGTTACGTATAAATGCAGAGAGATGCGGCCCGGTTTGCAGGTGCACAGCAGACTCGTTGCAAGCGCGGTTGATTCCGCGTTGATTCAGCCCGTATTCAGTGCATCGAGTCCCGCGATGAAAAGGCGTTCCGCTTTCTGAATATATTCCAATTAAAAAGTCGGAGCTTCGTTACACTCGGCCCTGCCCCCTCTCCACAACTCCCCCCGTGCACCGTCCTTGCACCCTTGCTCCCTCACTCTTTTCTCTGCCCTTCCTTCTCGCCGATCCATCTTTTCCCTCCGCCACCCGCCGCCCGGCTCCTTTTACTTCTGCTTTTTGCCTTCCACCGCGATCCCTTTTCGCTACTGGCGCGCAGTCAGCCATCCTGCGCTTCCTCCCTTCCCGCCCTTCTCCGTCGCGCTTTCTCCAGCAATTACTCCACCGCTTTTTTTTTCCTCTCTCTCTCAAGAATTAGAAATGCCCAGGCTCTTTCTTCGTCCTTTCGCTTCTCCTCGCCGCGCCCCTTTGCCGCCACCGCGGCATCCACGCCTACCCCTTGCTTCCATTTTAAACGAACGACGGTGTTTTTCAAAAAACACCTCCTCTCTCCTATCGAATTTGAGAAAAAAAGCCACGTCGATCAAACCCCGTAGCGAAACCGTTAATTACCGATTGACTCGCGAGAAGAATCCCGTGGCGCGGCGGATTCATTTGATGAAAAGTCCCGATTTCGAAGATATAGAGAGGAAGGCCCCCCGTGAAGTATTTAACGACGCCGCTCTTTCGAGGGTGTAAGAGGGGGGCGGCGCGCATCGTAAACTGAAGAGGGATAAGAAGCGCGTGTCCAAGTGCCAACACGACTTACGCACGTATGCACGCGCGTCCACGATTATTCGCTCAACGACAATGCGCACGTGGCCGAGTGCACGCGACGCCACTTTTATTCCAGGATATCTCGTTCGAGACCCCGCCTGCGCGATTTTTTCCCGAGGATCCTTCGTTCGAATCGAGTTTGGTCATTGACGAGTTAATTACGCGATCATTTACACGATCGAAAACCAATCGAGTACACGTGAAATCCTGTCTGTGTATCGATCGTCTCATTTATTTCGTCTGCCGATCGTCGCTCGTAGCTAAAAGGTTCGACATTCCTCTTAAAGAATTCCCTCTCGCGTGCGCGTGTGTCTGTATCCTTTGTATTGCTTTCTTCGAAAGGTTCAAGAACGCGTTAAAAGACGAAATTAGAAGCGCGTAAGGAAGCGAGAAGCGTTGCACAGTGTTACAATACGCGCGGCAAAAAATTATTACGAATAATATGCGATTCATTATGGCGAAGTAATTACGCGTGAGGGATCCGCGAACGGAAAAAAGCAGAAAGAGAGATAAAGGGGGTCGACGAGGGTCGCAAGAATTCTTCCTTGACTCGCGCGTGATTTCACGCTCGGCAAGACGTATCCGTGTTTTTTTTATTATTCGAGCACCAGACACCGCGGAGAGTCTGCCGGTTTATTTCATCCTGAATGAACGCGAAAGGAGCGTCTCCCTCTTTTTTCATCGTTCGCCGGAGAACTGCTCTAGAAAAAAATGACTCGTCGCCGTCGCGCAACAATTTCTTCTCGTCAAACGGAACGTCCTCGTGCACTCTCCTCGGCTCCTTTTAACTTTCCACGCGCCTTTTCCCCCTATTACCAACTTTTCCCCTCCGTCCTCCCGCACATTTTTTTACAATTCTTTCGTTTTCGAGATAGATGGATAGGTAGAGAGGAAGAGAGAGAGAGAATCAAAGGGGAGAAATTCGAGGTTATCTCGAAGCGATCGAATTTCAGAGAAACTCAATTTCCCGTGTCTGATTAGAGACTCTTCTGCGAAAGTTGGCGTACGGACGCAAAGGAAAGTGATTAACGACGTCGTTACATCGGAAACGTTCGAAATCCGCTTAATGTAGTCTAATCATCCGTGTAAAGAGATCGTTTACTTTTCGTTTCTCATCTCTCTCTCTCTCTCCCTTGAACCAGCTATCGTTTTTCTTCCCTCTTCTTCTTCTTCTTCTTCAATTCACAGGCGAGCTCACGGCCGGCTCGTGAAATAATCATCGCGACAATCGCAGCTGTTTCTCTGCTGTTTTTCGCTCTCCATCTCTCTCTCTCTCTCTCTCTCTCTCTCCTCTTTCTCCTTCTCGTCGATTCCATTCAATTAAATCCGCCAGCCAATTCCAGCCACGAGTGCCGCCGCCACTCGACTTGTATCGGTTTCAGCCAATTACTTTCAGCCGGGGCTCGCGAATCGCTGTTTCTGGCCACGTGCCCATTGTCACGCGCGAATTGGTCTTCCCGATACGGGCTGGTTACTCTGTTACCGTTTGCCCAAATAAAAAAGCCCATGTGCCACTCTTCTTTTGACGATGTTTCCGTCTTTGTCTGCGATCGACGAAAAATCTCCTGTTTTCAGTCGCGTTCCGGTGTGTTGTACGTACAGTTGACGTTTATCGTGTGAAAAGAGCTAACGAAAATGCACCTTCGAATTAAAGGAAAAGTAGTTTTGGGGGAAGAAATACGTGTACGAGAATTCGAACGTTGGTCCCCTTCAACATGCGCGACGCCTGAAAGGAGTGAATTACAAGACAGCAACAAGTTTCTGTTCGATAATAATTTATTTATCTACAAGAATTGTTCGGTTGACCAAAAAAGTCAAGTCGACTAATTGGAGAGAAAGTGATCGATTAGCAACGGTGAGCCTTTAGTTAGGCGGAACTAAATCTCTAAATGAAAATCGGCCAAGCTTGTTTGGCCGGAAACATTACACACGCCGCGGCGGCGGCGGCGTATCCCGAGGTTACAACTTATTACGTATCTAACGATAAGACTCTATAACACATCTACAAATTCGACTCGCTATCGACTCAACTAGACTCTGTGTGATTAACCAACGGCTCTTGGTTCGTTCCTCTCAAAAAACCGAAAGAAACGTTCCTCTGCTTGTCGAAGAATTCGACGATCTCACTCTCTCGATTCTTTCCCCCTTTTCACGTCGCAAACGAAAACAAACCAACTACGACTACCGAGCAACTTCGTAATTACATATGTACACTGTCTCGCATGCAGGAATAAACACGAGAAACAACTCCAGAACGGACGTGGTGAGCGCAAAACACCGTTAATAAGTCTCTCCTCGTTTTACATCGTCCCCCGATTCGCACTCACACTTCACTATCAGAGAGGCAGCGTGCGATCCTTTCCACCAGATGTGCAAAACACGAACGAGAACGAGAACGAGATTTCCGTGCAAAGATGCAGCAACCGGCAGGATCCGCTGAGCGACTCACGATAGAAAATAGTGGCCCGTGTTCTAATTAGAAACACCACGATCGACGGTGGTTTCGCTTCAGAATCGTTGGAAGATCCTTTGGAGAGAGGATGGCTGCCGACGCCGGCGGCCAGAAGGCAGAAACGATCCTGGAACCGCGGCGTTAGGCCGGGTTAGAGGGGACAGCCGTGGACGTAGGTGACGTTTCGAAAGAGGGCTGCTGCCGTGGAGAGGAACGCTGCCGTCGAAGCTGTGGAAGGTGCCGGCGGCGGAGGCGGTGGAGGTGGATGGCTCTGGGTCTGAGTTTGAGCGTTGTACGGTGGACAATATGCGTCTATGCTACCATGGTGAAGTCCCACGCCTCGTACCAGCAGTTCCTTTTCCACTGTTGCTTGATGTCGGAGCTGTTCAAGTCGTAGCTGGTTCTGACGCTTCCATTTCGTTCTGCAATTGAACGTTGCGTCTGAATCGCGCGCGCGCCCCCTTTTTTTTTGCGATAAGTCACGGAGAAAGACACGAAGAAAATAATGACCTTCTGTTTTGGTACCAGGTTTTCACCTGCGTCTCCGAAAGCGACAGCGCGTCGGCCACGTCGCTCCGATCCGCCACGCTCAGATACTTTTGACAACGGAACTTTCGTTCCAGGTAAGCCAGTTGAGCGTGGGTGAAGGCTGTTCGCCTTCTCCTTGGTTTTCTTCCGCTGGGAGGGCCGCTGGTTGTGGTGCCGCAAGTCTTGCCGGAAGTGGCTGGTGCTGGCGACGGTGACAGTGCTGGCGGAGGACTTTCCAATCGGGTGCAAGGACTGCTTCCAGGGTCGATCGTGTCCTCGGAGTCCGAATGTACGGCTGAATCGTCTTCGGAATCTTCTGGAATAATATCAATTTTATAGATTAACACCGTTCATTCGTCTAATCGTGTACGCGTCAATTAAGCTACACGTGTCAGTTGTTAGATGAACGAAATCCGATTGAATTTGCTTGCCAACGGCGCGGCGCGGCGTGGCGCGCGACCGACAAACAGATTCCCCAGTCCAAGTCGATTATCCAACGAATGCTAGCGAGTTGTTAGTCGATCACGATCGCTTCTGGTTAATGGTAAACGATCTGAATTACTGGAACGGTCGGTGTCCAGCCTAGATTGGCCAATAAAGGCATGAGGCACAGTGGGACGCGATAATCGTCGAGGAAAATTCGGACTAACGAGAGCTAACGAATCCTTCCACAGATCGGGCCATCTGTAGGATCGTGGTGAATGGGGAACCACCCTGGTGCGGGGCCTCTCACACACCCCTGGGGCTGTGAATCTTGGCTAAAAATAATAGAATCGCGCCACGGGGTGCCGTGTAACGAGGATCATGGCGATCAGCCACGCGACCAATACAAATTTTCATTTCTCCGTTCGGATTGACGAATCTGTGACTTGTTAGCGTGCACTATAAAATCCATACCTACCTACAGTGAGTACCTACCAACGTGTACAAACGTCCAAAGATTTTTTTTTCATCGGCTAAAATTATCGTTTACCGTAATGAAAAATGCTAAAAAATTTCCGACTACACGCGTAGATACTTTTTACGCATACCGAGAATTGAGAAATTTACACCATGGAACTCACCGTGCACCCTCTCGGAAAGAACATCCCCCAGGAGATCCCTTATGAGGAAGGATTTGTGCTCCTGCATCATCGCACTCTCGTCTCTAACCTCGAATCAATTGAACCTAACCGATATATTATAGAACCGGGGATGAAACGAACGAAACCTTTCTCTATACTATAGAGTCTATAGTAAACGAACGGAATTCGTGGAAGGATGAGATTCACGCGAACGAGCTGAGCGCGGACACCTCAGCAACGAATAACTCGAGTACCATGCTAACGTGCGGACGCCCGGCGTCGTTCTGAGTTGGCGGCGATGATCACGGGGGATGACCGGATGTGCCTGTCCACGGTTGGTTTCGTCCTCGTCATCCTCTTCGACTAGTGCACGTTGCTGCGAATATCGCGGTGGGGGTGGCGGAGGAAGAGTTAGCACGCGAGTTAGGCCAGGGGTTGCACCATCCAACCCCCCGCCTCCCCGCTCCAATTAATCCGCCCGTTTATTTTGAACGGGCTGCCTAATGCTCGCGCGATTTCGCAGCCATTTTGGGGGTGGTAGCGTCACGCTACCCCCGCTATCGCGTCTCGTCTCGACGGCGATTGGTCTAGGTAACTGGTTGCGGAGGGATGGAAATAGCCAGAGGTCGACGCGGATTGGACGATGAAAAGCGGGCTGCGCAAAAGGGGCCTGGCTCTGGCTCTAGGTAAGAGATGTGGAGTGCAACGAGGGCTCCGTGGGTGGCACAGCCAGGATGTTGGTGCACACAACCGCTACGTGAAAAGCGTGTGTGCACGGCCTGGCGAGCATCGAGGCTCAGCGAACGAACGAGGAAACGAGGGGGAGAAAGTCATTGGCGAACGATTACCGCGAAACGAGAGGAACAAATTGGATGTGAAACGTTTCTGCTGCTGGGTATACCTATAGAGAAGAACGCGTCGCGATATCGAGATTGTTCTCTCTGGTTTACAGGGGGTGGTGGCTTAACCGCCGCGTTTTTTTCGTTTCCCGCGCTGGCATTTCCGCGCCGCGAGTTACCGGCAAACGAGTACAAAGGGAATATGTACTATATGTACTTCTATGGCTTGACTTTGGTCTTTCGCTATGAATCTTGGGGACGCGCCAACTTTTCCTTTATCTACTTTACTTTTCCTCCTCCTCTTCTTCTTCTCCTTCGTCTCCGTTTTCTTCTTTTATTTTCGATCAACGTACTATCTATGTATAATATATAGAAACGGGGGACACACAGAGCAGAGTCTAACGAAGTCAATTTGC